GGGCATTTACGAGTACATACTCAACGTCACGGAAAACCTACAATTTGCCCCCTCTGTTAGCCAAACTGTTAGTGAGTCTGTTAAATGCTGACATGTCAAAAGTGGGACCCCTTTTTTTTATGACGTGAACTTCCACGTGGACAAAAAACTAATAAAAAATTATGTACATGTTAAAAATAATTTTTAAATCATATTAAAATCATTAAAAAAAGAAGAAAAAAAAAAGAAAAAAAATTCTCATCTCTCTTCTCCAACCCAGCCAACCCTCTCTCCCTCCCCATCGTTACCCCAAATCTCCCTCCCCCACCCCGCTCCTCCAGTCCAAACCAACCCCTGTACCACACAGATCCGGAGAGTCCAAAACTCCAGATCCGTCGAAGAAGAGAATGCAACCACGAAATCACTTTTGTTTTTGTTTTTTTTTTGTCTGAACCACGAAATCACAAGATCTTTTCCATTCTTGATTTCTCTTTGATTTCTTGGATTTTTCTCTACATCTTAGCATCTTTTTTCATTCTGAAGCTTTGGTTTATCTCAGATTTTTTTGTTTTTTTCATGAATGTCATCTCATATTTGATTATTTCTATGTCGGTGTGGGAAGGGGTGGCTGGGTGTGGAAGAAACTGTGAGAGATTTCTGCAAAATGGGATATGGGATTTCTAGCTCCTGATTTTGGACCACTCTAGTCTAGCAGGGAAGAAGTGGTCCACTAAAACTTGATTAACAAATGCGAGGCAAGTGTGTGCTGTTTGGGCTGGCAAGTCCTGAAGCTGCCAAGCCTGCTGTGTTCATGTCATGGCTCTGCGGCCTCATGAATTTCTTCACACTCTCTCTCTCAACCACCATAATCATTCACTTGCTTAATTGCCTTGGGTTGGGTTGGGGATGCCAAAAGCCATTTTCAACTTTTCAGATCTTTGTCTTCTCCAAATGGACTGTTTGATATTACGGGAAAGCAATTTTGGGGAGGTGGGTGGACTTGGTGGAATCCAAGAAAGAGATGGCTTTGATTTCAGCTGGAGACAATAAATTAAGAGCCATCCCAACTCTGCTTTTTGATTCAAATCAACAAAAAGCAATAAACTTTGAGAGAGAAGAAGATAAATTTCAAACAAATGAACAAAACCACGAGAACCCTTTGCAGCTTTTTTTCTGGGCTTTTTGTTTTTGGTTTTTGGGTATTCATGGTGAAGGGAGGGAGGAGAAGGTGGCGGACATGGGTCTAAAATTTTTTCCCTCCAATTCGTCTTCATCATCTGAATTGGCACTTGATTTTTTGGGCGGTGGCTGGGTTGGTGGGTTTTGGGAGATGGCTGGGTGGTTCTTTGGGCGGCGACGGGAGAGTGGTGGTTGAGAGGTGGGGTTGAGTCCGGAAGGAGAGAGGGTTGGCTGGGTTGGAGAAGAGAGATGAGAATTTTTTTTCTTTTTTTTTTCTTCTTTTTTTAATGATTTTAATATGATTTAAAAATTATTTTTAACATGTACATAATTTTTTATTAGTTTTTTGTCCACGTGGAAGTTCACGTCATAAAAAAAAGGGGTCCCACTTTTGACATGTCAGCATTTAACAGACTCACTAACAGTTTGGCTAACAGAGGGGGCAAATTGTAGGTTTTCCGTGACGTTGAGTATGTACTCGTAAATGTCCCCAAAATCGGATATGAACTCGTAAGTGACCCTATAGGTTGGGGGGTTTACTGTACTTTTTCCTAAAAAATACTATATCAAATATCAGACCCTCCAAAGACATCACGGCTTCAACTGTGGCTTGGCTGATAATGTATTTCTTTATTTTAAAATATTGAAGGGTTGAATTCCAAACTAGGATACTATAAGCAATAGCAACCCCAAACTAGGATACTGATGTGAAAATAGTGGCTGCATAGTCTCTATTGTTTATTAGAGACAATTAATTATCTCAAAAATCAATTTAAGACACAAATCAAAATCACTATCTTATGTGAGTTTTTTTAGTAGTGTTGCTATCACAAAGTCTTTCTTTATATTTTGGCAGCGAGGTCTAGATATCTGTCGATATGTATGTCTGAGTCTTTTATTCTAACTCTGAGTCTTTCTTTAATTATGCATGTTCATTCAAACCATTATTTTCATTTTTAATGGAATTAAAGTACCTCATCACATCTAAATTTTTTATTTATTTAATTAGACCTCATTACATTCAAGTATATATCATCTAAAGGTTCATGAATTGAGTCACCTACGCAACTTGTATACATAATTTTTTTAATTTCTCAACCAATTTATTAATTATTTTAATTTATTTACTCTTATTATCCCAACTTTTTGAGTCTTTCATTATATTTAGGCTTATTAGTTAAAATGCCCTTTGAAACTTTGGTCAGATCTCACTTTGCCCCATGAAACTCAAAATGACCCATATTGGAGTAATTTTTGGGTTTTCTGGGCACACCACGTGGCTGGTGTACCATCCAATAGACGGAGGACATATGAAATATTTCTAATGCAGCCCACCACATGTTATAAAAAGAAATGCAGTAAGTTGGACAATAATTCCACATGTCCTATGTTTATTGGATGGTACACCAGTCACGTGGTGTACCCGGAACATATAATAATTCCTCCCCATATTGTCCCTTTGATCGTGGTTTCGTGTTTCACTTTGCCCCTGCCTTCAACTCTGTAAAACAAGGGACAAAGTGAAACACGAAACCACGATCAAAGGGACAATATGGGGAGGAATTATTATATGTTCCGGGTACACCACGTGACTGGTGTACCATCCAATAAACATAGGACATGTGGAATTATTGTCCAACTTACTGCATTTCTTTTTATAACATGTGGTGGGCTGCATTAGAAATATTTCATATGTCCTCCGTCTATTGGATGGTACACCAGCCACGTGGTGTGCCCAGAAAACCCAAAAATTACTCCAATATGGGTCATTTTCAGTTTCATGGGGCAAAGTGAGATCTGACCAAAGTTTCAAAGGGCATTTTAACTAATAAGCCTAAATATAATGAAAGACTCAAAGTTTGGATAATAAGAGTAAATAAATTAAAATAATTAATAAATTGGTTGAGAAATTAAAAAATTATGTATACAACTTGCGTAGGTGACTCAATTCATGAACCTTTAGATGATATACTTGAATGTAATAAGGTCTAATTAAATAAATAGAAAATTCAGATGTGATAAGGTACTTTAATTCCATTAAAAATGAAAATAATGGTTTGAATGAACATGCATAATTAAAGAAAGACTCAGAGTTAGAATAAAAGACTCAGACATACATATCGACAGATATCTAGACCTCGCTGCCAAAATATAAAGAGAGACTCTGTGATAGCAAATTACAAATTTGCACACTAAAGAAATTGAATTCCAAATTTGCAAAGAAATTAATTAATTACACAACTTGCATGGCAAACATGCTTGAATTTATAAATCTGACTTCTTGGCTAACTATGTCCTTTTCTTTTTGGAATTGTTTGATCTTATGATTAAGGTCTGGTTTCTTAAAGATGGCATCTCCGGATCCCTGTAGCTAATTTCATACTCTTGTAAGGAAAATTTTCAAAAAGGAATAAAAATAATATACAAGATTTGTTGAAGAATTATAAAGAAGAGATAATTACATGAGCATTTTCTTTTCTAACATTCTGGAGTTTTAGCATTTTATCAAAACAGTGAGACACCAAATGTGAATATGATTCCTTAATACAAATGTGAAAATAAATAAATAAAAATGTTGAGACACCAAAACTACCTTTTGTTAATATATTTCATAACCCAAATAACATCAATCACAAGTTATTCCTCCGGAGAAAAAGGTACAAAATTTGCTTCCAAACAACACAACCTTAAACACTATAAAAGGAATTAAAACATATATGTGTAAGGCCAGTAAGCCTGCCAATTTCCACCCAAGTTCGAATCTCCCCTCCCTGTTCCCTCGTAGATTAGATTAATTTATAATTTCTAAGAAAAATTGTTAAAACAAATAAATTCCAGAAGAAAAGTTTCTAAGCCAGCTAGAGGGCATGGCTAGGCAATGGGTCCCCTTAAGCCCATCTCCAATTTAACAAGTGCGACCAACACATGCTAAAGAATACCAACCATTACTAATTTTCCAACGTGGGATTTGTCTTCCAACTCTAACAACAGACAGATGCATATAAAATTATATATGAGAGACCTTTGCTTGCAGGTTATGAGGACCGTCGGATGAGAGAAGGTAGATCCAGCGCTCCACATCTCTTGTCGCCCGTAGGTACTGTGGAATTGACCTCCTATATATTGGATCTCTTCTTGCGCATATAATTCATCCCATCTGTAGCTAGCTCATTCAGAGTGTTCAATCAAGAGAGAGAATTAAGATATAAAAAATCAGTAGAGAGATGGCGTACAACGTATTCGGCAACCCCATCGAAAGCTCGACTTTGAAAGGGATGCCAGAGTTCGAGTGCAAGGCAATAGAAAGAAAAGACAGGGCAAAAGTGGCTCTGCAGATGAAAAACGTCGGGGAGAAGGACCTTAAAGCCCTTACGTTTGTGGAGAATTTGAAGAAGCAGCATGGTGATGAAATCTCCACACTTTGCCTTGTTTACAATGCAACTGGGGACACCGTAACATACTCTATAAGTAAGGATTGGTGTGGACACATTGGACACTCCCCCTACCCAGCACTCATTGCAAATGGGCAATGGGGTGCCTTTCTGCATGTCCAAAGCGTTGGAAAGTTTGAAGGATCTGCCGGCAATGTTGTGTACAACGGCAAGACCAAGGACGGTGAGGACCGCGGATGGATGCTGGCGTGGAGCAACAATAGGGTTGCCGGGAAAAACTCGGTATGTTATTTTCGGTTTAGATTATATCTGTGGGGTAAATGTAGTATACCTTGTTTGCTACTTCCAGGAATATTTCCGAATTATTCAGATCATTGACGAGGAAGGATTTATGATTTCAAAAACAATCTCTTCTTGTGCAGGTGTTTACTGAGAATCGACCAGCTGAACACTATGTGAGTAATGTTGGTTGGATCCCCATAATCTATGATGGTTTGAATCAAAATCGCATCTACAAGAGTGAGACTTGGGGTGGCTGCGTGTCAACTATCTCAACTGGAACTGGCACTTCCCCAATAGTTGAAGCAATACTCACATTAGAAGATGCCTGAGTTAGTCTTTTATTTTGGCATGCACAATAAAATGGTGTGAACGAATACTATATCACAGCATGTTGTATTTTATTTCTTGTGTTTGTAATTTGCAGCTTCTCCTTCTTGGTAAGCATGCGCTTGTGTTTCATATAATCTTTCTGTTTTGATATATTGAAGATTGCTTTCAGGGGCTATCTGATTTGTTAATGCTATTTGAGGTTTAAGTTTTAACCTCCTGTTTGTGCTCTCATCAAATTGAAAATTGGGCTTTGTTTACCACAAATGGTGAATGACCCATACTGTTCAGCATTTGGGTTATTATTAATTCAGCTCAAAAGCACAAGGCAGAAGTAAGGTTTTTATAGCTTGGTCATCATTCTGTGTCTGTGTGGTAGAAGATTAATTACAGCACCAGCATCAATCATTACTTTGGCGATTGATACTCCTCAGGAAAACGGATAAGCACCTTCTTAAAATAAGTAATTTTTTTTTGGTCAAGCATTAAATAAAGTTTATTTCCATAAGAACAAAAAAAATTGGTCCCGTGGTAATGGGGTCTTGTCCAGTTGAAAATGACATTCACTTGCATAGGTGTTCTTAGGTAACACTTCCCTCTACCATTGCAACTACAAAAAGTAACAAGCTGATCTATCATCACGTCGCCACCAAGACAACCAAGCATATCCACCAAACTCTTCCAAGACAGAGGGGCTGGAATGGATGGGTGAGGTGCAGAGGTAGAGAGAGGAGGCTAGGGAAAGGTCTTGGATGGTAAGGAAGGGAGGGAAGGGGAGGAGGAGATGGATGGACGGTGGCTGAAACTCTTCTCTCTTAGGGTGTTAGAAAGGGAGAAATCACACAATTTCATGACATGGTGGCATAGTTTTGGAGAAGTAACGTTAGCTGTTATATGCTATTGGATTTATTACATGTATTAGAATTGTTTATTTAGTAAATTAAGTATGTTCATTTCAATTACACAGTGGCTCAGCAAATTGGAGTTAGGATGAGATAAGGAATGGTATGCGTGGGCATCAATCCAACCGAACTGATGAGACCGGTCGGTTCAAACAGTAATTATCGGGTTTACTCAGTCAACATAAAATTGAGTAGTTCATGTTTGTACTTTAATATGGATAATACCTTAATATTTAACAAAAAGAGACTAATAAACTAATTAAGAAAGAGAGTCGGCAGGGTGTGGAAATCACAAGGTGCAATAAAACAAAAGAGTAGATGATTCATATGAGTCATCAATTGGGACTTTAATTATAGAAGTTCATTTGGGAATCTGCCAAGGCTAGAAGGGACTTCATCATACATAAAGCGGAAGAAAGCAGATTTAATTTCATCAATCCAAAGAAAGAGAAGAGAAGACAAAACAAGAAAGAAAAAGAAAAGGAGCTGGTTTAATTGTTTTCTTTTGGAGAAAATTACACTACTACAAAAAACACTTTGCGCGACGAAATAATTTTGTTGCGCAAAGTACAATTTCGTCGCGCAAAGTTTGCGCGACGAAATTTTGGTCGCGCAAAGATCGTAAAGAAAGGTTTTGGGCGACGAATACTAACATCGCTCAAAGATACTTTGCGCGACGAATTATAACTACTTTGCGCGACGAATATTAATTAATTTGCGCGACGAATAATATTATTTTGCGCGACGAAAGTGAACATCGCGCAAATCACTTTGCGCGACGAATCCTAATGTCACGCAAATCTTTGCGCGACAAAATATTCAATTTTTTTAATTTTTGTTTTTTAAAACTTTTTAATTAAAATAAACTAGTTTAATAGTTTGCGCGACGAAATATTTTGTCGCCCAAGGTTTTTGACATTTTGTTTTATTATTTCTCTTATATCAATTTCATTATATTAATTTTTCAAATTTTTACTTTTAAAATTTAATTTAATTGTATGATTTTATTTTTGTTAATTACTTTAATTTAAATTGACCTATTCAAAATAAAATTACATATGAAAAATAGTGGTCAAATTATCCAATATATATAATATTCAAAATGTACACATAAATTAACAAAGTACAATAATAAAATCTACAAGCCTATTGTGGTGGTAGTGGCGGAGGATATGTTTCGATAGCGTCTAAATCCTCAACTTTAGCCGTCAAAGTCTCGACGATTCCCTACAAAAAAAA